GCAGCAAATAGAAATCCAGATTAATGCTAATATCTCAGAAATAGATAACACATTGAGAGGGCAAAGGAGTAGAAATGAATGAATGGAAGACGGAATTAGTGAGATGTTAAGAGAAAAATCAGAAAAAAGAACAACAGCAAAAAAAAATTAAGAAAGGCTAATATTTATGTGGGACACTATCAAGAGGAATAACTTATGTATGATTAGAATTCTAGATAGGAAGAGACAAATAAAACCACAGAGAAAACTGTTCAAGATTTGTTGAAAGAGAACTTCCCTAACATGATGAAAGATGAAAAGACATGCATTCAAGAATTTCAAAAAACCCCAAACAGGATAGACTCCAAAAAAAAAAAAAAAAAAAATCACCAAGACATATCATAACCAAGCATTTCAAAACCAAAGACAGAATAAGAATCCTAAAACTAGCTTGGGGGAAATAAAGTTACCTCAAAGGGCAGCCAATAAAACTAAACTCTTACTTCTCAGAAGAAACCATGCAGGTGAGAAGGCAATGGGATGATATATATAAAATGTGGAAAAAAAAAAAAAAATCCAACCAAGAGTTATATATCCAGTAAAACTGTCCCTTACATATGATGGTGAAATTAGGATATTTCCAGATAAACAGAAATTAAGGGAATTTGTAAAAAAACAAACTAAGCTGACAAGAAATGCTAAAGGCATTCCTTCAGATGAGAACCAATGGCAGACAACTTGTGATTGACACACATGATAACATCAACCAGAAACCAATCTAAATAAAGAAGTATCCAAAGTGAAATAAACTTACAAGACTTAAAACAGAGAATCAGAGACATCAATTTGTAAATAATGACAACTACAAAACAAAAAGAGGGAATAAATGTGTATGCAGAATTTCCAAATGGAGCGGAAGTCAAGACAATTTCAAGATAGGATGGACTGATTTAAACTTAGGAAGAAAATAATAAATCACAAGGAAACCTCAAATAAAAGTAATAAACCTTCTCATCAAAATAAAAGAGGAAAGTCACAAATATTTAGCAAATACTAAAACAATAGCAATGAAGGAAAAGATAAGAAAATCTATAAACAAAATGAACTCAGCAAAGAAAATTATATGGAATAAAGAAATCAGCAACACCATAAAAAAACACTAACAAAATGACAGCAATAAATTCATACTTGTCAACAATTACACCCAATGTAAATGGTTTAAATTCATCAATCAAGAGACAGAAAATTGCAGAACTGATAAGAAAGCATGACACACCAATATGCTATCTACAAGAGACACATCTTATACACAAAGACAAAAATAGAGTAAAAATCAAATCTTGAAAAAAAAAATCAAGCAAATTGCAATAAAAAAAAGAGCAAGAGTGACAATATTAATTTCTAATAAAATAGACTATAAGACAAAAACCATCATAAGAGATAAGGAAGAACATTATATAATGATTAAAATGGTCAATCAAACAAGAGAACATAACCACAATAAATATCTATGTACCCAGTGAAAGAGCCCCAAATACATAAACCAAAACTTTAGCAGAATTGAAAAGAGAAATAGATAACTCCACAAAAATAGTAGGAGACTTTAGTACACCACTTTCAATGAAGGACAGAACAACTAGAAAGAAACTCAACAAAGACACAGAATGAAACAACACAATCAGCCAATACGACCTTATAGACATATACAGAACACTCCATCCAACAACAGCACAATATACATGTTCCAGTGCACATTAAATAATCTCCAGAATAGACCATATATCAGGCCACAAAGCAAGTCTTAATAAATTTAAAAGCACTGAAATATTGCAATGCATCTTCTCAGATCACAATGCTATTACATTAGAAATCAACAGTAGGAAGATCAAGGAGAAAAAGCAAACTCATGGAAATTGAATAACACTTTACTTAAAAACTACTGGGAAATAGAAGAAATAAAAACTGATGTTAAAAAATCTTTGAATCAAACAAGAATGTAAAGAAAACATACAAAAATCTTTGGGACACAGCAAAAGTAGCGATCAGAGGGCAATAAATGCATACATCAAGAAAGAAGAAAAAGCCAAAGTCAACACCTTAACCCAACATCTCCAACAATTAGAAAAAGAACAGCAAAAAGAGCCTACTGTCACCAGAAGAGAAGAAATAATAAAGATTCAAGCAGAAATTAATGAAACAGAAAACAGAAAAAACAATAGAAAGAATCAGAAAGACCAGAAGTTTGCTCTTTGAAAAGATTAATAACAACAAACCACTGGCAAATTTAAGAATAACAAAAAAGGAGAAGATGCAAATAACACAAATAGGAAATGAAATGGGCGATGTCACAACAGAACCAACTGAAATAAAAGGGATACTATCAGGATACGATGACGAACTCTACTCCAAGAAAAACAAATTTGAAAACTTGGAAGAAATGTATGGAGTTCTAGAAACACACCACTTACATAATGTAACACAGATTGAGGTACAAATTTGAACAGACTCATAATCAAAAAAGAAATTCAACACTTTACTTAAAAAAACAAAAAAAACTACCAAGAACAACAACAAAAAATCCTGGCCCAGGTGACTTCACTGGAGAATTCTACCAAACATTCTGAGAGGAGCTGACACCAATTCTACTTAAATGATTCCAGAACACAGAAAAGGATGGAATCCTCCCAAATTCATTTTATGAGGCAAGCATAACCTTGATACCAAAACCAGGCAAAGACACCACCAGAAAGGAAACTACAGACCAATATCCCTCATGAATATAGATGCAAAAATCTTCAACAAAATCATAGCCATTAATGGATGAATGGGTAAACAAACGATGGTACATACACACAGTGGAATACTACACAATGTTAAAGAACAGTGATGCATCTGCAAAACATCTCATAACATGGATGAACTTAGAGGCCATCATGCTGAGTGAAGTCAGTCAATCACAAAAGGACAAATATTGTATGAGACCACTTTGTAAAAATTAAAAAAAAAAAAGTGGTTTCAGAAAAAGTTGGTTACCAGGGTTGGGTGGGGAAAGAGGATAAACCATTAACTAGAGTGGAGACACATACTAAATTAGATGAAGGGGAAGACAAAAAAAAAAAAAGGATGCAAAATAAACCTTTATCATCTGAATGCACAGAAATTTTGGTTTAAAAAAAAACAAAACCATATTTAGCCCAGCATGATGTTCATTGCCTAATAAAGCAAAAATAAATAAAGTTTGTGTTAATGTTTGTAATGTACCAATTAACACTTTTTTTTTTTTTAGTTTGACACTCATCCTGTTTATAGACTATAGAGCTAGGTTTGATACTGATAGAATAAATAATATCACTATCTTCATATTAATTAATGGATATAGCATAGGTAAGGGAATTCATATTGTAAAAAAACTTGGGGAAGAAATTAGTGCACAGGACTAATGGTCTACATGAAATACAGCCTCTTCTGCTTGAGACCAGAAGGACCAGTGGTGTCTGGCTATCACTACCAAGTATTCTGACCAGGACACAATAGAAGGTCCCGGTTAGAATGGGACAAAAATGTAGAACAAAACTCAAATTCATAAAAACAACTAGACTTACTGGACTGATAGAGACTAGAGGAATCCCTGAGACTATCGCCCTTTTAAGCTCGAAGTGAAGCCACTCAGCGAGCATACCTTTCAGTTCCAAATAATAGATTGGTCTATAAAAATAAACAGTGACAACCATGAGGAACGTGCTCTTTTAAACAGTCAACTATATGAGACCAATTGCTCAACGTTTACACAAAAGCAAAGATGAGAAGGCAAGGAGAGGCAGGAAAACTGGATGGATGCAAACAGGGCAGTGGGTGGAAATGGCAAGAATGCTGACACATTACAGGGATTATAACCAATGTTATGGAATAATTTGTGTATGAATTGTTGAATGGAAATCCAATTTACTGTGTAAAATTTCACCTAAAACACAATAAGATATTAAAAAAAAAAGAGAGAGAAAGAGAGAAATAAATATTCAAGGCAAATTTTCCCTAAGGTTGACCCTGACTGTCAAAATCAAAGAATCAGAAAAGCAAGAGAAATTGGATTTCTGGAAGAAAAGCAATGGAGAAAAGGATGAAAAGGAAGAACAAAGAATTTAGTATTTTCAGACCTAATACATTTCCTTCTGGTCCTAGAATATTGTTGTTGGTTGCCACTGAGTCAGATCTGACTCATAGTGACCCCTCCTTGGGTTTCCGAGGAGGTATCACTACAGAAGTAGATTGCCCAACCTTCCTTCCAAGGAGTAACTGGTGGGTTTGAACCTCCAGCCTTCTGGTTAGCAGTCAAATGCCTTAGGCACTACACCACCAGAGCTCCCTGCCCTAGAATATATATATATATAAATTGTGATTTGGGTGAAAGTTTATAGAGAAAATTCACTTTCCATATAGCAGCTCATATACACTTTGTCTCATAACATTAACGGCAATATCCCACAATGCAACAGCTCCCCTCCCACTTCTTCCACATAGTTACCTCTTCCCTATGTCCTTCCCTCCATGTACTCCTGCCCCCGGAGCTGTCTCCCTGTGCATACACAGTCCTTCTATTCTCCCAGGATTGTTCTCTCCAGGGAGTGTATCTACCTAATGGAAATGTTCAGCTCATATGCCTGTCTTTTGTTTGGCCAGAAGCCACAGGAGTGGGTTCAATTCCAGACCTGAAGGGCAGCTATGGGCCATAGTCTAAGGGGTTCAACCAGGCTCTATCAGACCAGCAAATCTGGTCCTTTTTTTTTCCCCAAAAATGATTTTGAGTTCACATTATTCTCCCAGTCTATCCAGGGTCTCCTACATAGATCTCCCTCTGAGTGGTTGACAGTGGCAGCTGGGCATCATCTAGTTCTTCTGGTCTCATAGTCGTATAGGCTGTGGATCGCATGGTGTACCAGTAGCTTGGACTAATTGTTCCCATGCATCTTTGGTTTCCTTCATTCTCTTAGAAAATATTTTTAAGGAAAATTATTTGATCTTACCCTGCAAGTATCAAAAATTCCATCTTCATCACCTGCACAAAACGAAGTGTTAGGAATTATTCCCCCATAACTCTTCTCAGAATTACAAATGTTTCGAGAGATATAATGCACTTCCGCTTCCTGTAAGGTATTTGTACCATTGCCTATCAACAACAAAAAAAAATACCAACAAGTTATTTTGGAGAGTAGGCATTTTGACAGTGACTTTTGGTGTTTGATAGATTTTCTTTCCAGAGTGACTAATTAAGCAATTATATAAAATTGTATCCATACACGTACATATACATGCCTAGGAAAATTCTGGAAGAATGTTCATTAAAATATTAATGATAGTTATAGCTATAGAATAGGAATTTCAAGTGATTTTTGTTATATTTGCTTTCATGTACTTATTGAGGATCTCACAAAAGGATATGTAATTTTCACAAAATAAAGCTATATAAATAATTGTTGAGGGCTAAAGATCAATCTTATGTCATAGATTTGCTAAGGATACCAAGATATTAAGGAGCTCTGGTAGCATAGTGCCTTCTGCTAACCAGAAGGATGGCAGTTCAAACCCACCAGCCACTCCTCGGAAGGAAGGTTGGGCAATCTACTTCTACCACCTCAGAAATCCAAGGAGAGGTCGCCATGAGTCGGATCCTACTCAATGGCAGTGAGTAAGTGATGCTAATTGGGCTACAGACCACTGTATTTTATGTAATTCTAGCCAAGCAGAATACTATCCCTGCATTTCTTCTACAGAAGCTGCCAAAAAGGAACCTTTTTCACTCTAGTCACCCAACTGGCTATATGGATATATTATTTGGGATTCTATTGTCTTATTTTGTACTTTTGTTTGTCACACTTTCCTTATGCTTCTAATTTCTCCTTTCTTGATTTTTTTAAGTTGAGATTTATTTGTTTTTATTTTCGTATTCCATTTCTCTCTCTCTCTTTGATGGTTTACCAGTTATACTCTATTTCTATTAATGAATGGCTACCTTTGAAATTTGTCTATTCATGACAATAGGAGCTCTGGTAGCATAGTGGCTAAAGCACTTGACTGCTAACCAGAAGGCTGGCAGTTCAAACCCACCAGCCACTCCTCGGAAGGAAGGTTGGGCAATCCTACTTCCGTAGTGATAACTGCCTTGGAAACCCAAGGAGGGGTTGCTATGAGTCGGGGCCGACTCGATGGCACATAACAACAACAACAACAACATGATGAACAAATCTAATGTTGATCAGTATTAATAATCCTGAATAATACAGGGACCTGAGAGCACTTTAACTCTGATCGTGCCTCCTGAAATACATGTTACTATTTTTTAGTATTTAAACTATATAAACTCTAAAACTCACTGCCGTTGAGTCGAATCTGACTCATAGCGACCCCTCCTTGGGTTTCTGAGGTGGTATCACTACAGAAGTAGATTGCCCAACCTTCCTTCTGAGGAGTGGCTGGTGGGTTTGAATCTCCAACCTTCTGGGTAGCAGTCAAATGCCTTAGGCACTATGCCACCAGAGCTACTAAACAATGTATGTGTGTGTGTGTATTTCACAAACTAGACATCATTATTTTTATTGCACTGTAAGGTTTCTCCATCTCGACACTGTTGACACTATGGGCCAGATAATTTGCTGCTCTGGAGGTGGAGCAGTTATCCTGTGAATTGTAGGACGCTGAGCTGCATTCTTGACTTCTACCCATTTGATGCCAGTAGCAACCCACTCCTCCTCTCCCCCACCCCCATTGTGACATCCCCAAATTTCTCTAGACATTAGCAGATATCCCCTGGGGGCAAAATTATCCCCATTGAGAGCCACTGTTGCAGGCAGAGAATGTTAGGTTGCATTTACCTATATATTTACCAATTTCTTTGCTCACTATCCCTTCTCGCATCTCCTAACTCCTGACTTAGTTTCTTAGGGCTGCTGTAACAGAAATACAAGATGGTGGCTTTAACAGAAATTTACTTCCTCACAGTTTAGGAGACTAGAAGACCAAATTCAGGGCACCAGGTCTAAGGGAAAGCTGTCTCTGTCCCTCTAAGGGAAAATCTTCTCTTTCAGATTCTTTTCCTTGGTTTCTTGGTGCTCGTCCATGTGGCATAAATCTTTCTCCACTTGTGCTTCCTTGCTTCTGTGCCTAATCTGCTCTTAAACCTCAAAAGTGATTGGTTTAAAACACACCTTACAATGATATGGCCCCACTGACATAACAAAGAAAAACCTAGTCTCAAATAGGATTATATCTGAAAGGACGGGGGTTAGATTTACAACACGTGTTTGGGGTGGGGCACAATTCAGTCCATAACTTCTCCCTTCTGGCATCAGTTTCCTTCTGATACATCTTTTATTTCTTTTGGTACCAACTGTTTGTAGTAAGCTCAGTTTTTGTTTACTCTTATTCTTGAATGATAGTTTTAGTGAATACACAATGTAGGTTCATAGTTTGTTTGTTTTTTTAGCACTTTGAAGTTGATATTTCATTGTCTTTTGACTTTCCTTACTAGTGTTGAGAAATTTTCTTAAAGTCAATCCATAGTTGCTTATAAGGGTTTTTCTCTTCTCTCTGGCTGTATTTCAGCTCTTTTTTCTTGTTTTTGTTCTACAACTTCACAATGACATATGAAAGGGAATTACATGTCATCTGAGTTGGCAGTGTGCTTATTATATCTAGATTTATGTCTTTCATCAATTATAGGAAATTTTCAGTCCCGATACATTGACTATTTACTCTTTTCTATTTATTCTTTCTCTCTAGGATTTTCATTAGGTGTTTATATTAGACTCTCTTATTCTAGTCTTCTTATACTTTAATTTCTTCCATATTTCTCTGTGCTTCAGTCTACTTCACAAATTTTCTCTCCAGCCATGGTTAATATCATACTTAATTCATCTATTTAATTTTTTTTAAATTATTTTTTTTATTGTGATTTGGGTGAAGATTTACAGAGCAAATTCACTTTCCATACAGCAGTTCACATATACTTTGTGTCATGTCATTGACCACAGTTTACCACAATGCAACAGCTCCCCTCTCACTTCCTCCCCATAGTTACCTCTTCCATGTCCATCCCTCCATAC